TGCGCGCGCGCCCAGCCAGGCCGAGCGGCGAGCGCGGCACGCCCGTCGGCGAGCGCATCGCCGTGCCGGTTGAGGTGCGCGCGGCAGGCGGAGCGATTGGAGAGCAGAGCGCCTATGGCGCTCGCCCCGAGCTCGGCGCGCGGAAGGCGGGCGGCGCGGTGCGGCGGCGCGGCGGCCCGCCCCGCAGCTCCGCCACGTCGGCCTCGGAGGCAATCTCCGGCGCAGAGAGCAGCTCGATGCACTTCGAGTACTTTAGCTCCGCCTTTGGGTAGTCGCGGTCGCCAAAGCAGCGGTCCGCATTCTTCTTGATGTCCTGCGCCTTGACCACCGCTCGCCTCCCCTTCTCGCTCGGCGGCGCCTGCGGCGTGCAACGGGACCGCGCCTCAGCAGCCGCAGCGTGGCGGGCGGCGGCGGCAGCGTGGCGGTGGCGGCCGCAGCGGCGGCGGGCGGGGCGGCAGCTGCAGCTCCGCCGGAGGCAGGCGGAAGCCGCGCGACCGCTGCCACGAGCTCACTCTTCTCGGTAAAGCTCGAGGCGTCCACGCCCGCCCGCCTCAGCGCCTCCTTCAGCTCCTTGACCGAATAAGCCGCGAGCGGGTCGGCTGGCGGTGGATGCGCTGGCGCCGGCTGCTGCTGTCGGCACGCCTCGTCACTGGACGGCAGCGTGCGGGTGGTGACGGGCACACTTGCCATCAGCCCATCGAGCATGGCGTCCTCCAGCGCCGGCTCCTCATCGATGCCGAGCGCATGGGCACCTCCGTCGGCCGGATCGTCCTCGGCGAGCAGCTCGTCTCTCGCGTCGTCCATCGACCGCACGGTGCGCGCGTCCGCCGAGGACTGCACCTCGCTGAACGAGGGCGCGACGGAAACCGTGTCGGCCGGAGTGGAGAGCCCGCCAGACTCAAAGTACGCGACCACCTCTCCTTCGCTCCACGAGAGCATGTGGTCGCCGATGTCGAGGTCCGTCGCAAAGTACTGCTCCTGAAGCTCGATGATGCGCTCCATCGCAGTGAACAGACCAGGCCAGGGCTCACGCAGCAGCCTGCGCAGCAAGTGGTGGACTCGGTCGGAGGAGAGGGGCAGCAGTAGTGGGCCGGAGAGGAAGAGCCAGCAAGTTCTTTTTATTACTCCGAGGGGGTTTAGGGGTTGAGGGTTGAGGTCCCCCCTCAACCATCTGGTTGACGGTTGAGACCCCCCCTCAACCCTTTAGTTGGGGGTTGAGGCCTCCGGGGCCTATTCACAGGCTCGAGCGTGATCACAAGATAAACTGCTGCAAGATAAAGAGCCTGCCGCCAAAAAAATCGCTTCGCCTGCGGCGCGCTCTTGCGCTCCTCATCTCTCTTCGCAGTCCCTCGCCGATTCTCGCTGCAACCTTCATGCCACCTCGCGGTCGTCCCACTCTCGTCGTTCTTGTCCAGTTAATAAATAAATAAATAGAACGGACACGCCAAACGATGGGTGGGAGAAGGACAGGGTCCCACCTGCACGAGCACAGGATCTTGGAAGGACGATCAGGGACACAGGGGAACGGGAGCGGGGAGCGCATCGCGACACGGAGGGGGCTCTTGTCCAGTTAAAATTTTTTTCTTTTTTCTTGCTGTGGGACGTGCACGCAAAAAATTCTTTTTTCTTCGTGCTCCCGCGGCCGCTCCTCTGTCGCTCCTTCGGTGACGGTGGCGGAGAGCGGGCGCGACAGTAGCGGCAAGACGATGGCGTTCACTCCCGAGCAAATTTTGCTCGTGGTCGCCTTCGGCATGCTCGCGCTGATCCTGATCGGCGTCGGCCTCGTCGTCGTGCTCGACTCGTCCTTCGACTCGACCACGAGCAGCTCCGCCGCGCCAGCGCCGAGCAACAGCAAGAGCTTGCCCAGCGAGCCGGTGAGCCGAACATCACCGCTGGCGGCGCCAGCGTGGCGCGGCGCGCGCGGCGGCGAGGGCCGACGGGTGTACACGAACGGCACGCGGCTCGACGAGCTCCTGCGCTGGCCCGCGCTCGACGCTGCCGTCGCTCTCAAGGCATACGTGAGGCAGATGGACTG